CTCGTGCTCCCTGAGGGTTCCACTGCAGTGACTGTCTTGTGATGTTTCCGCTGGGCTTTCTGAATGTGTCTCCTATCCATCGCCACTTTCTTAGTCCTATTTCTGCTTCTATGTCCTTTTGTCCTGTCCTTTCCCACAGCTCTTCATTTCTCATTCTATCTTGCCACTTAATTCTGAGGATACTCCTCATACATCTGTTGATGAAAGCCTGGACTTTATTCAGTATTGTCTTTGTTGTCTTCAACAGTTTCGCAGCCATACTAACTTCATTTTTCAAGATCTGAAGTACTCTAAATAATTTACTGTTATTTTGAAAGCACAGAACTTAAATCGAGAAAGCAAAAATCAGTACAGAAGTAAGCTAAAAGTCCATGAAACACAGCCATCAGTCGTAGATCTAATTATTTTGAGTTTGAAGGGAACATTTTTAAATAGCCTTATTAGCCATGACAAAATGTGTGGAAAATTGGAGTTAGTTGGTTCAAGATTGCACCCAGCTCTCGATAATAACAGATAATAGATCACATAATTTGTATAGCGAGCGCAAATTCACGCTCAACAGCAAGCTCTGTGTACTTAATAATCTATAATAATCATCATTATTCAGTGCAAATTGCCTTTTTACTTACGCTAAAACAAACTAACACAGTGACAAGATCATTAGCTGTCTAAGGCTGGGTACACATTCCCACCTGGGTGAAGAGAGGGAAATTAATTGTGTGGAGTGCATTTCTCGAGGATATAATTCGTTGGGCCAGAGTCTCGAACCCCTAAACACTTCATCTCTGTACAATCGGGGGTGGTAGGAGGGTGCTACTGGTAGATCCAACTTCTTTACTCTCCCTCTGTTGTTTCTATGTGTCTGCCTTGTTTTCTCCCACTCGAAATGAAAACTAATGTGTCTATGTACTTCTTTTTACTCTGATTGAAACTCGATACAATCAGCATTTATCTCATCCCGCAAGTTGTAGGGGGATATTAACATTATCCTGACAGCTTATTTTGTCAAAGAAAGAGCGTTCATTTTTAACCCTATCCGTGTGTCCTGGGGGTCATTTTGTACCCCCTGGGTTGTATTCTCTTCACATTTTAGAATACTTCTAGTACGAAGATCTCTTTGAAACTTTCAGTATTTAAAAAAAAAAAAAGAAAAAAAAAGCATTTTGACAGACTGCTAAGCAAAGCGTACGGATCGGATTAACGAGTAAAATTCCTCTTCGGAAAGTGGTGACACGGAGTTCCCCACGTCGTATGTATACGATAGTAAAACACGACGTACGGATAGGGTTAAGTGGTGACACGGAGTTTCCCACGTCGTATGGATACGATAGTAAAACACGACGTACGGATAGGGTTAAGTGGTGGTACAGAGTTCCCCACGTCGTATGGATACGATAGTAAAAAAACGACGTACGGATAGGTTAAGGGGGTCAAGCGAAAAAACGGGATAAGTTCACTTTTCGATACAGTCTGTTGGAGTGATCAATGAATTCATTGTAAACTTTGTAGAAGGAATGTGCACTATGTAAATGGACTCTATTATAATTTACACACATGCATACCCACAGACAAAAACAAACACGTAAACACAATAATTTACACACACACATGCATGCACACACACACACACACACACACACACACACACACACACACACACACACTCACACACACAAACATACAGACCCACAACAACAACAACAACAACAACAACAACAACAACAACAACAACAACAACAACAACAACAACAACAAATCGTGTTTTCTAAAACCTTACGTAAATCTAGATTCAGGCCCAAAAATCTCGTTGTAAAAATCTTTTCTTCCGACATTTGTTTATCTCCACGCACAATCATGAAGTAAAAAAAACGTTGCCTTTCAAGATTGTTAGATTCAATGAGAGTCCATTATCTCATCCCAGACTGTCAATCTCAGGAGACCGGTGGTCGATGGTCTTGAAGTAATCCTGACTGCCTCAACAAACTGTTTTTGTGGTCCTTGTGTTCTAGGGAAAACTCCAACAGCAAAACAAAACAAACTGATACGAGACCTAAATGAAAAAAAAGCAACAGCAAAAAACAACAACCCCGAAACAAAACAAAACAAACCCCAAACCCCTCAATCATTCAAATGCAGTCGTGCCTTGTGGCAAAGAGCTATATATAGTGATACTTTGTAAATTCCAAGTTTGTTACGTGCTCTGTCAATTACCATACCTCTCTGGTCCGAGTGGAGCTGAACTGTTCACAGTGTGTAGGTATGCGCTGGGCGTTGACAGAACACTAGCGATTTTGGTCTTAGTCTTAGGGTGAGGCTTTGCACAAAGTTGTTAGGGTACCACTATTAGTATTCGTGTTATTTAGTATTGGATCAACCTATTGTTTTAAATGTAGGTGTCTTTTCCCCCCCACCGACACACCTGAAATCATTTGGTCGCTCTTAAGGACAAGCGGCTGACACAGACTTCGGGGGTTTCCAGAAATCTCGACCTACACCAAAAGTGGGCATTGACCTACCTATAGGAGAAGTTTGGTTTCACTGGTGTGTATATTCCTTATTCCATACCTCCCGTTTATTATTTTCCAGCTTGCCGCGACCGACGATCAAGTGAAACATTTTATTATTATCTAGAATCTAGATATCTGAATGAAATTTCTTTTTTGTGTTGTAAATGGCAAATTACTCTCAGTATTAGTACCGGTACCGGGTTGGCTACCTCAATTTTATGCTTTATAAAAACTTTTGTACCTTGGTTCATATTTTCTAAAATGAAACTGGTTTGTTCCTAAATGGGAAAAGTTGTCAGAATAACTTACTAAAATTACAAACATTTAGTGATCTCTTGTTCCTTTATTCACTGAAA